ATAAAGGTACTGTTAACAGGACAGAATTTGTTAAAGACACAAAGCAGAAAAGATTGGATTGAGAGAAAAATCAATCAGCATCAACCATCTTGTGACACTACTCAGGCAAAGGAACAGTCGGCTAAGGAAGTAAGGGGTTGGATTTCCCCAGTAGAGCCCCAGAAGCTGCCAAGTTCAGAGCCATAGGGGCTGGAAACAGGGCAGGTCTCAGGACAGCCAATGTGGAGAGGCAAATGAAAGAACTTGGGGCCTCCCCAGAACCACAGTCTGGCTGGCTGTTCACCTACAATTTCACATGGCTCCAGGGAAGCTCAAAAAAAGTGGGAACTTTATCTCCATGCTCATAACGTAAGCAATAGACTCTGAAAGCTTAGGAATTCTCACATATTTTTAACCATAGCTAACTAAAATTGGCAGAAAGAAAAACCCACAAAAAACCCCCAAGAACCCACCACCACCTGCCATTTTCCAACTGATTCAAAAGATTCTAGAATTCACTGGAAAAACAAAACGTGCAAATAGCCAGAAAATCTCAGAAAACAAAGACTACTGTGGGCATAGATGGGGACCTATCCAACCAGATGATGAAACATTCTGTAAACTTATAATAATTCAGCAGTGTAGCAGGGACACCACACGAAAGAGAAGAGAGATTGATGAACCAAAATGTTCAGAAATAGCCCAAAAGTGTACAAATCTGATGCATGACATAGTCTAATACACAAACTATTACACTGGTGACTGATTACTCCTAAATGGTTCTGGAACAACCCACCATCTGAAAAAAATAAGATCCTCCCATCTCACATCAGAAAAAATTCTGGATTTAAATATAAAACATGAGGACATAAAAGTAATACAAGATATTACAGAACATTTTTTTTTTAACATCCTAGGTTAGAAACAAGCTTCAAAGCCAGAAACTGTAAGGGAAAAACTAACTTGGCTGGGAGGGAAGGGATGTTATCTTTTATGGAGTCAAGTTGAAGACAAACAACAACTAGAGAAAAAAATAGATATTCTCAACTGGATTAATTTCCTTCGCAGATATGGAGTGTTTACAAACCACTAAGAAAAAAAATAGAAAAATAAAGAGGCAATTCATTAAAGAAATGCCAACATTCAATAAAGTCATAAGAAGACATGTAGCTTCACTGGTTAAAGAAATGAAAACTAACTGTATAAAAACAAACTCAAAACGGATTAAAGACCTACATTTTCTAAAAGCTAAAATCATAAAAATTTTAGAAGGGACTTCCCTGGTGGCGCAGTGGTTAAGAATCTGCCTGCCAATGCAGGAGACACGGGTTTGAGCCCTGGTCCAGGAAGATCCCACATGCCGCAGAGCAACTAAGCCTGTGTGCCACAACTACTGAGCCCGTGAGCCACAACTACTGAGCCCATGAGCCACAACTACTGGACACGCGTGCTTAGGGCCCATGCTCCACAACAAAGAGAAGTCACCACAATGAGAAGCCCACGCACCACAATGAAGAGTAGCCCCCGCTCGCCACAACTAGAGAAAAACCCGTGCGCAGCAACGAAGACCCAACGCAGACAAAAATAAATAAATTATTTTAAAAAACATTTTTAGAAGACAACATAGGTGTAAATCTTTATGACCTAGGAATAAGCCATGGTTTCTTAGCTAAAACACCAAAAGCACAAGCAAACAAAGAAAACATAGGTAAAGTGGACTTCATCAAGATTTTAAAACTTGGTACTCCACAGGACACCATCAAGAAAATAAAGAGACAACCCATTAAATGGGAGAAAATTTTTGCAAATCATATATCTGAGAAGAGATTAGTATCTAGATTATATAAAGAACCATTTTAACTCAACAATAAAAAGACACAACCCAATTTTAAAATGGGCAAAGGATCTGAACAGATATTTCTCCAAGGAAGATAATAAAGGTACACTTAAAAAAAAATTCAACATCATTAGCTGTCAGGGAACTGCAAATCAAAACCACAAAGAGATACCATTTCATACTCACTAGGGTGGCTATTATCAAAAAGAAAGATAATAACGGGTGTTGATGCAGACGTGGAGAAAATGGAACCCTCATACACAGCTGGTGCGTATGTAAAATGATGCAGCCACTTTGGAAAACAGTCCGGCAGTTCCTCAAAAGGTTAAACATAGAGTTATACATGATTCAGCAATTATATTCCTAGGTATACGCCCAAGAAAAATGAAAACATATGTCCACACAAAAACTTGCACACGGATGTTCATAGCAGCATTACTCATAACAGCCCAAAAGTGGAAACAACCCAAATGTCCATCAAAGGTGAATGGACAGACAAAATATGATATATCCATAGAATGGAATGTTACTTGACAATAAAAACAAAGCACTGACACGTGCTACGACATGAATGAACCCTGAAAACATTATGCTACAAAAAAAAACCCAGTCACAAAAGGCCACTGTGTATGAGTCTACTTACATGAAATGTCCAGAATAGGCACATCTATAGAGACATGTAGAGTAGTGGTTGCCAGGCAATGGGGAAGATAGAGGATTTGGAAGCAACAGGCAAGAAGTAAGAGGTTTCTTTTGGGGGTGATGAAAAGGTTCTAAAACTGATTGTGCTGATGGTTACACAGCTCTATGAATATACCAAAAGCCCCTGACTTGTACATTTCACATGGGTGAATTGTATGGTATACTGAATTATACCTCAATAAAGCTTTTTAAAAAAAAAAGAAATGAAAATTTAAACAATAATTATCTTATATGTTTACTGGGTCTCCATCTGATAGTTAACTCCCCTGGGCAGGAGTCCCTTGTCTATCTTATTACCCTTCACCTTCCCAAGGGCAGTAAAAAGGCCTAGTAAAAGGACCAAAGTCGATTATTAATAACAGACATCTCCCAGCAAAGCTGCTGTAAGATGAATTTCTTTGGGGGGGAAAAAAAGAATTTGTTTGCAGTCTGACTTTCATGTTTAAGTCAGAGATGCTCTCCTACATTAAATCTCTCTCCACCGTAGATATGCACTAAAAATTTATGAAGAAATTTAATTCTCTAGATGCTTCTACTCACTGCTTTTACCCAGACCATAGGAAACCAGACTTAAAGATACTCTGGATCCACCATGGGCATTCTGGAGACTTCCATTCTCTCAGTTCTGGCTTCAGTGTCTACGCATGAGTCTACTATGTTTCACCAGCAGGTGTCGCTGTCTAACCTTTGGTCTTTAAGTACCGAACTTCATACACTCCTAGTTGCCAGCAAGTGCTGCATAATTCCCCTTATGCATAGTGTGGGCTACACATAAAGAGCAACTTCCTTCCAGTACAGTACGGAGAGGGAGAGAAAAAAGAGTAACTGTACAGCGGAAAAACCTGATAAGCACTATCTCAAGTCAGGTAATCAAGGTTAATATCAACAGTGATAAAATACTGTCAATGATAGTATATACCCCTTATATGATGTAATGAGAATGGTACTTTACCCCTGTGCTTTTCCTCCTCAAAACACATCACCCCAGGCTAACTATGAGAAAAACATCAGACAAATCTCAACGAAGGGACATTCTACAAAATGCCTGCCTGGTACTCCTCAAAACTGTCAAGGTCATCAAAAACAAAGAAAGCCTGAGAAACTCACAATCAAGAGGAGCCTGGGACCAAGGAGACATGACAACTAAATGTAATGTGTTACCCTGGATAGGATCCTGGAACAGGAAAAGGGCATTAGGCAAAAAACAAGGCAATCTGAATAAAGGACTTTTAGTCAATAATAATGTATCATTACTGGTTCACTATTTGTGACAAATGCACCACACTAATAAGCAAAACTGGGTGTGGGGTCTATGAGAATTTGCTGTACTATCTTTGCAATAATTCTGTAAATCTAATACTGTTCTAAAATAAAAGTCTGTTTTTAAAAATTTCACTAGCTGCCAATTTTGCCAAATTAAGATTTTAAGGAATAGTTCCAACTGTTTAAAACTATAGCTTCTTTTTTGGCATGTTTTCAAGTGATTAGAAGACAGAAAAGCAAAACCTCAGGCCTGGAGAGCAGAGGGAATAGATGGGGTGGGGGGCGGTGGTTTCCCTGAGAAAGAATGGAGCCCCAAGAAAACCCATCATCCCAATCACAGCACGAGCAACGTGGCCACTTCTGCCTTGAAAACTAAGAAAACTGCTAATGCGTTCACAGCATATTCAGCCTTTTGCAACCATGAGGGGAAGACTGGAAGATGCAGTGGTAGCAGGAAAACTGGCAGTGCTAAGCAGTCATCTAGCCAGGGTTTTTACTGAAAGATAAAGCCCTGCTGAAGAGTTTTATGACCCAAATTGCCTGCCCTAAAGCCCCAAAGCCCAAGAAACATCTGAGGTCTAAACAGTTATTTATACTAAAAAAAAAAAAAGTAGAGAAGTACTCAATCCATATGTTGATTTTAAGTAGTCTTTTATATTTGCTCTAGTTTTGTTTTTTAAAATGTGCAGCTAAAATAACAAATAAATCGTATGCTTCTTCAATAAATAGTTAACTGGCTTTTGGTTTGTTTTCTTAAAGGAAAAACTGTGGTTGAGTGGATTGTGTGCCAGATTCCTGCTCTCAGAATTACCCATGTCTAAAGAAAGCCCAGCCAGCTGTAACCTGAGACATCTTTCTCCACCTGGGGGCAGCTATCCAAACCGCAAGAACGGAGTCTAGGAAGGGTGAAACAGACAGTCTTTAAGGAGGCAGCAAATGAGAATCAGGATTCTCCATACCTCGAAAAATTGTTATAATAAAAGTGAAAATCTAACCCAACCCACCCAAGAAACCAGCATACTGTATATAGCGAATCAGAAATCAAAACCCAGAAGGTGAACTGTATTATACAGCATCCATAAAATGTACATTTGATGGGTGACTCTGGTATGAAATGTAAGGTAGAGTTCATCCAAAGTTTAAAGGGTGAGAGCTGAGTGAACACCGTCAGAAAAGAGAATGCAGGAAAAGTAACAAGCTGTACTGACTTAGTACCTACGGGAATGAGATGAGTGGGCTGGGATTCTTCCAGTTTGTTCCTCAACCAGTCAAAATCCTGGTATCTTCGACGAACAGAATATTCTGGCAGGTCAAACTCCACCCGAGTACTCTGCAAATGAGGACAGTGGAACAAAATCAGGGTAAGGGAAGAGTAGCATACCTTGGCAGAATGGAAGGAAAAAAGCTCTCTTTGAATAACCTGGGCAAGAACACACTTTTCTTCCACCAAACGCACCAGCCAAATGGCAGGGCTTACCAACACGGAATGACAAGTCCGGGCCACGGGGTCCAGTTAAAAATTTCAAGGATCTAGAATGAAAATGTTGAGGTTTCATTTCCCCCTATCTCAGGAAATGGAACTATCCCTCAGAATTGTGCTTGGAAACATTTGATTCATTTCCTCCAAGTTTAACTCTGAGAATTTCTTTTAGCAGAATAATTCCACTGAGGATATTGCTACTGAATCCAAATCTGTGAATCTGTTAAAAAAAAAAAAAGTCTCCACCTTCTGCTAAATACGCTGACAAGTTTTGCCAAAGGCAGAGGGGAAACAAACAAAAAGTAGAGATAACAGATCACCTGCTCATTTAGGAACCAGACTAGGTGAAAACAGAAAAGGTTTTGCCCACTCTTCCATATTCTGCCAGGACCATAAGCTTGAAACTACATTGTATTTTAGATGATTTTTTAAATCTAGAAGGAAATAATTGTAAAATATCATTGTATTGCAAAAAAAAAAAAATTCCCTGAATTTAAGTTTTCTGAAATGTGATTGCAACACTTTGATAACAAAAACAAATATTAAATAAAATTAATTTATACCAAAGCAGGATTTTTATACATTAATTTGCCCAAACCGAAATTATGTCTCAGATAAGCCATTTTTCCCTGTGAGGGTACCGACTATATGATGGTCACAGTTCTCAGAGGTTAAAGCACAAGATAAAAATGGTTCAAACTACATTTTAGAAATTTACTGAAATCTTTCAAGCCAAAAGTCTGTTTAAATCCATGGAGCCAGGAAAATCTTAAAAACACATGAACAAGGGACTTCCCTGGTGGTGCAGTGGTTAAGAATCTGCCTGCCAATGCAGGGGACACGAGTTCAATCCCTAGTGCAGGAAGATCCCACATGCCGCGAAGCAACTAAGCCCGTGTGCCACAACTGCTGAGCCTGTGCTCTAGAGCCCATGTGACACAACTACTGAAGCCCACGTGCCACAACTACTGAAGCCCTCATGCCTAGAGCCTGTGCTCTGCAACAAAAGAAGCCACGGCAACGAGAAGCCCGTGCACCACATGAAGAGTCGCCCCCACTCGCCACAACTAGAGAAAAACCCGTGCGCAGCAACGAAGACCCAATGCAGCCAAAAAATTAATTTTTTAAAAGGACAGTAACTTAAAAAACAAAAAAACATATGAACAAAGTCATCCATCAAAGCAGCAGCCAGTGAACAGCTTTGGCATCATAAATTATGATTTCATCCTTCCCAGAAGCCAGGCTCACGGTCTGAGCAAAATTGTGAAGTGAAAGGACTCAGTCTTGGACTAAACCCCAACTAACTCTTTCTGCCTCTTCTCCCCTTTTCAAAGTTTTACACACCGGCATACGCCCATGAAACACAACCTTCCCGTATGAGGCAGGGGTAGGGGTGGGAAGACATGGGGAAATTTGTTTAATTTAGGCATTTGTGATTTATTAGAAGACTCCCCAAAGGAATTAGCATTTTAGAACGAGAGAAACAGAGACAGAGAGAGGGAAAAAAATAAATAGAATAGTTAAATCCAAATCACTACTGATGAATCTTTAGGCATGAGGGTGACAGAAATATTGGCAGCAGTAGCCTGGCACTCCTCCTGAGGCAGGGGCATGAGCAGTCCTAGCATCCCTGAGATGCCACCAAGCCTCCCGGAGCCTCAGTTTCCTCAACAGTAAGGAGGCAGTTTGGAAGGGGCATTCTTTAAGACTGCAGGGAGTCCCCCAGCAGATTCTGTCTGGGGACTTGTCGATGATTATGGGCTCAGGAAAGGTTGATTTTGAAGGGTGACAAATGAATGCAACTCATTTTCATTGTAAACAGAATAGAGGGCTCTACTTTCCGTCCTCTTCTGTCACATCATATCCACTGGCTGTTCCTCTTTATTATGGCTTGCAAAACCACTTCATTAAATTATAGTCTATGTAACATTTCTACTCTTTGCAATCAATCTTTGGTAACTACAAAAAGCAGTTATGTATGATAAAACACAAGCTTTGTTTCTGCTGTAACCAATTTCACTTTCGAGCAACTGCTTTTTTTTTTTTCCTTCTATTTATTTAGGTTCGACACACTTATTTTAAAACTTCAGGAAAATTAAAGAAATAAAAAATAAAAGATCAGCCATAATCTCTCTAAATGGAGATAAATGCAATTAATATTATGGTCTACATCTTTCCATGTTTTTTCTATGCACAGTCACTCATATTTTCCTATGTCTCTTTAATATATCTTGGACATCCTTCTGTGTCAGGAAGTTCAGATCTACATAATCATCTTTAACACACATGGAAATACCATAATTAAACCAAACCCCCACTTAGGTTGTTACCAATTTTTCAATCAATAAACCATACTACGGTAAACATCACTGATAATTCTCTTGAAATTATGAAAGAATATACATGAAAGAGTATACGTATCTTTAATCGACAAATTGTTTCCAGTTATAGACTGATTTATATTCTTAGCATATAGTCTCAATACTGGTTATCTTTGATGGAAGTATAACTGAAAAATAACATATCATCTTTGTTTTACTTTTGTTTCTTTAATGACTGTCGTGGTTGAACATCCTTTCAAGTGTTTGTTGGCTGTATAATTTTCTTCTTTTGTGAGAAGTCTTTTTTTATATTTGTGAGTCTAGTCTTTTCCATTTGTGAAAGCTCTTTATAGCGATTTAGCTATCATAATTGCCAAATGGCTTTTATTATACAGAATTTTAAAATTGTTATATAGTCAAATTCATCCATTTTTTCCCTTTATGGTTGCTACTTTTAGTGTCATTGATAAGAAGTCTGTCTTCATTGCAAGCTTTTGAAAATATTCACCTGAATTACCTCCTTTATTTATGGCATACATGTACACATATATATAAAATTGCTGCTATGCTACTTCTAAGAATCTATCATTAGAAAATAATTTTTAAACTGTGGCAAAGATACCTGTATAATGATGTTCACTGCAATATTATTTAAAATAACAAATTCAAAGCAACCTAAATGTCCAACAATAAAAAAGTCAGGGAAATTACGGTATATTTATTCTATGGTTATCAATAATCATGTCTGTAAAACATGTTTAATGACAAAAATGCTACAGTAATAGTTTTGTTTTTTTTTTTCTTTTAGCGGTAGGCGGGCCTCTCACTGTTGTGGCCTCTCCCGTTGCGGAGCACAGGCTCCGGACGCGCAGGCTCAGCGACCATGGCTCACGGGCCCAGCCGCTCCGCGGCACGTGGGATCTTCCCGGACCGGGGCACTAACCCGCGTCCCCTGCATCGGCAGGCGGACTCTCAACCACTGCACCACCAGGGAAGCCCCCCAGTAATAGTTTTAAGAAAAAACAGCGGATACAAAATTAATTGTACGTATTTTATGATTTCATTGGTGTTGAAATTTTCGACATAAAAAGTTAGAAGAAAAATCTAGGACTTATGATGACAACTTTACATTCAACTTTATTTCCAAACTTTCTAACATTCTTATACAATACTTATAGTCACACACAAAATAACTCATTTTTTAAAACAGCTCCTTTAAGGACAGGGGATTTAATAAATCAGTAAAATTTGTTTAATGCTTTGGAAAGCAATAACATAAAACAAAAAATCATGAAAGAGAAGGATGCTCACACTCTCTGACCTGATAATTATTTTACTTATTTTTACCACCACTTGTTCTAGAAAAGATAGAGTGATATGTGGAATATGATCAAATGACATAAATTAGAAGTAGGTGAGCAAGATAAAGAAAAACAAGGACAGAGAGAAAAAGTAGAGCTGGGAACGAGGCTAGCAAAACACACTCACCTTGGAATTCTGCACACTTGTTAAAATTGGGCCACAGACATTACTGTGAATTTCTGGAAAGAAATCTAGTCCGTTATAGGACATACAGTGCTCATAAAATATGCAGGCTAATAAAACCCCAATTATGAGTCTGTAGTAAAATTTTCCTCTGTGAAATTCAGGGTCTGACTTAGAAAGAAAAATAAAGTACTAATACGTGTTTATCTCTATTTTCTAGTATCTGTGGTAAACAATAAAAAAGAAAGTGCACATCCACAATTCCATAATCAGAGGCAACCACTTTACCGTTTTGTTCTGTGTCCTTCCTTACTGTGTTCCATACTCTAGAATGCCCCACAAAGATCATAAGGTCATTCGTACACACCTAAAGTCAGATCTACAAATAGGTAACCGAGCACAAGAGTTGTAATGAAGAATATTCATTCTCACCATTGCACCCTGTGAATATCTCCTTGGTCATCTCTAGGCATCGCTGCCAAATTTTGTTAAGTTTAATACTTTGGAAGACCCAGCACGGAGCCACAGTAAAATCAATCACCCAGGAGCACATCCAGTCCTCTAGGCCTCACCGTCCCACAAAAGAACTCCTCTTTATTCCCTAGGAGCTGATGGGCCCAGTGACTATGGCCTGGAGCCTTTCCCAAGAATTTTCAGTCAACTGAAAAGTTGATTTTACAGTCAACTCACTCTAGAGAGGCTTTGTCTCTGTCAGAAATGCCATCCGTCCAGGCCACAGCTGGATCCTAACAAGTCTGAGTAACCCCCTCCCCGCAAAAAAGAACCTCTTCCCTTATCAAATATTAGCCAGCTAATCCCATTCTGTTTCATAGCCCTGTAGCTCTAAGAGCACCTGAGAACGATGCTGAAAAGTTTTCTGGCCTCCTTCTTCTGAAACGAGCTTCCATTTACTTCCTCCTCCTCAGATCTTCCCACCCAGCTCTCTGGAACACCCGTCCCGTAAGTAATAAAGTCCTGTAGTTCCTCAACGTGCTCAAATTCTGAAAGCTGGCTCTCCCCTGAGAATACAGCCCCCTTGCTGTC